TGTCTATGTTTTTATTAATTGAAGAAGGATTATGTGCTGGATAAATACTTATTATCTTTTACATTTTTAAACTATATAATTACAATATATATTTATAATTTCAGGAAAAGTATAAATAACCTTTCTTTCAGTAGAAATTGCCATCTAGTTTTCTGAATATGGCTCCAAATACTTTCTCAGATAAAACCCGCAAATTAAAATAACTGTAAATTTTGGCAATCTGAAATATGCAATGAAAACATCTTCTGGCAGACAAAAGCATCAACATATGTTCCATAAATTTGCCGCCGATTCTCCGATTATAATTTTACTTAATATTCATTTACATTCATCCACTACGAAAGTTATGTATGTACAGAGAAAGCAACATTACACCCTGCGAAAAACAAAGTGCCGCTGGGGAGAAAATTCGCGGATAGGAGAGGACGGCGACCTGGGACGGCGAAAGGGTCAATACGAAAAAAAAAAAAAAGTAGCGGCTAAAGCACACACAAAGCCATTGTCTACTTAGAACGTCAACTGGAAAAGCTTGATTGCCGACGGGGCAACACTTTTTCCCGCGTTTCCGAAGACTTCCGTACTCAGAGAATATGGGATGTCATATCGGGCAGACCCGTTTCTCACTAGCAGCCCACAAACTGCTGCCGACTCCCGGCTCGTAGAATAGCCGTTCAGGGCTGTGGATTCGGTAGGGAAATGACCGACTCAGACTAATGGAATTTTAAAGACTCCGACTCTCTCATATATATGTAAACATATACACATGGGTTGCAGCTTATTTTTTTAATATAAAAGAAGTAATAGATGTTACAGAAAAAAATTCATGGCATAGCAAATTATTCATATTAATCACCATTTATTATGAAATGGAAAACTCGGCATTAGTAATTTCTAAAAAACAGTATAGTATAGCTTCAGCAAGATCTTTGATAAAGGACCATAAATCCAATTTGATAAACTTCAGAGCTGAGAAGAGTCTTTTCCACTCCGACTTGAGTAGGAGGTAGTGCTGTTACTGTTAGGGCCACTTCTTTTAAATTTTCAGGCTAGATTTTTAGAAGTTCTAAAAGAGGTGTCTTGCAACTGCAATTATATTTCTCTAATCATATTTTCTTCAAAGGCCGTATAGAAATTTTGTTTGTATTTTTTCATTTTTATATCTAAAGGCTCTTGGTTCTTTATTTTCATTCGCTTTGCCTAAGCCTTTCCTATAACCAAGTATTCTCAAACTTAACCTCATGGTAAGAGGATGATAGAGACTCAGTTGCAATGTCTGCAGTTTGACTATCCCGATTTCAATACTCCAAGAGATGTTTGAGAATAATTTCATTCTTAATGAAACTTCATAGATGGCTTTCTTTGAATTTTAATTTGTTCGTCATCCAACAAATTTCGGTGTTTTGGATCTACATATATTGAACCCAGAAAGATCTCATTGTCTAACAAACTAGTTTCTATTTTCTTCATTAAAAAAATGATTCCTTCTGCAATACACCCTCCATTTCAGAAAAAACAAACATCACATTCTTCCATTATCGCCTCCTGTTAATTCGTCAGATTGTAGGTTTTTGTAGCTGTACACAGTGTTGAAAGATGAGTTTCCAATTCTGAAAGACCATTCCACAGTCTTTCTGTTAGTGAAACATTAGGGTTATCTACATCTTCTAAAAAAGTTCTTAATTATAACAACCTATATATCAAATATGTACTTCCATAAGCGTTGCTTGACAGTGGGTTTCCTTTTCTGTCGCTTCATGAAAATGGACACTTTTGTGAGTTTGCTGTTAAATGAGTCTGATGTTAAATGAGTTCTGAGTGAAATTGTAGCTAAGTGAAGCAGTTTAATTAATAATGGCGAATATCACATTTTAATAAATAAATATAAGGGAGGAGGATATATGTCAATAAAATAGAAAATAACTATGTATTAATGTATATAGTTCATAAATAAAGATAATAACTGAGTTTGTCATTAAATCTTTTTTCAATTCCCTTTAATTTCATTTCAAATTCAAACTGTCCAACATAAATTGGAGTCGGAGTCGACGTGCTTTTAGCGACGCAGACTCCTTTTCCCCAAAAATCTGCCGAACTCCGATTCAGTCTCCACAGCTCTACTTAAAACGACCACACCTGAAAATGAGTATTTCTGATAAATATAACAAGCAATAAATCAATTCTGAATTTCGTCGTGTTAAGGGGTTCACATTAACTAAAAATCAGAATCAACTACATACATTACAACAGATTTAAGTAATTAAAACGCTCTTTGGGTATTTATTATTTGTGTCTGCTTTTCATGGGACAATTAAAAGACAGTTAAAAGAGAAACAGCTCGAAAAAATCGCATGAAACTCATCCTCGTTAAAATAAATTTCAAGTTATGAATGTATCATTTAATCAATTCAGAGTAGAGATTATCAGTATAACGTGTTCGTGTATGGTCGGAGAAAAAAGGGGACGATTATTTTAACGAGGATACTGCCCGTTAAAGAGTTTACTATATATATATTGGTTGTGCACGTCAGTTTTTTTTTCCTTCCTTCCTTCGCCCATGGATAGCTTTATGGTTTAATCAGACGAAAAGGTTCAAATGGATGCACTAAATTTTTTCTCCACAAAGACACAGATTAATCAGTGTTTTTGACTGGATGTTACGGAAAACATGCTCATAATTTCACACAACAAGGAAAGTAATACGGTACGTAATACTAATTCACATCCAATCAAGTGACACATGTTAATTGATGTAATAGCTGAAAACGGTGTTTCAGTTCCAAAAGTAAACGGCATGTAGTCGTGTGCTTTTTACAGGCGGAAGTCAACAAGCCGATCGACATTTACATGAGGATGCTCTCAATTAACCGTAAGCGAAATGCTTTAAGATAGTAAAAAAAAAAAAATCTGCTAGATATGTCAAGATCCTGGTAATCTATTTTGAAGGTTACACTACAATTCATGGAATAGCTGAAGGTATAAAGGTGGATAATAGAACGAATTTCGCTGTTAAAATACCGTTTTAGGGCAGGGTATATTTTAATCTTTTTGCCGCCCGGTAATCCTTAGGACTTCTAAATTCTTCCGCACACCGCCTGCCCAAAGTCTAAACTAGTGCCACACATCGCACATGGTCAGTCCTCGCTCCCTCATACCATGTACCTATTTCTGTTCCATAAAATCCGGTAGGTTACATTTGAAATCAATAAATGTTCTAATACCCTCATGAGACAATTTTTTTACCACCGTCATTGTTTTTTCATTTGATCAAACCAAGTACTTAATATACGTCAAATTAAAATTGGCAGAAAAACATCGTGACAAACCAATTTCTTCTTGATTTTCTTTGCTCTTAATGTTTCTTAAATAATACTGCAAGTTATATTTTAATTTTACAACAGTTATTTTAAGTTTATGCCTCTGTTATATCGTACCTAGCTTCAATTTACAAGTCCATACCAGAACGAGATTTCAGAATCGCGTTAAATGCAAATGAGGAGGAGAATAGTATTTAAGTCAATTTCAACTGGCTTCGACAGAGAGAGAGTGAGTAGCGCGCGTTTGCCTTTGGGCTACGTCTGTCTAAGCTGTTACTACGCTCGGCCATAGACCATATTACGTGTCTTTTGATAGTTCTCTCAATAATTTAACATTACGGGCCAGATAATTTAGAATTGTGCTAGTTTCGGCTAAATCTCTTTAACTAGTCATTAGTTAGTTCTTGTTTCTTACATTTTGAGTTTAAGCCCAAATGGAGGCTTTGCTGCACACCCTAAGATAGGGGCTGACTGCAATTCTTTATTTGGCGTGAATAAAGAGTAATCAACCCTTCTTGAGTTTACATTATTGGATTAAGCGATTATTTGCTGGTAGTTCACTAGGTTCCTCGACACTTAATTTGATAGAATAAAAGTGAGGAACTCTATAATATAAAAAATAAAGAGTGATGCAACTAAATTCAAATGTTCGAGCGGAAGCAATATAAATAGTTCAACAACAACAACATATTCCAGTTTATTTACAACATCTCAGCATTTCTGAATGAGAAAACAGGTTAACAATAAATTTTATCTCTGAAGATTAGTAAAACATAAATATATCTTCAGAATTAAAATTATCACATGAAACTCATACTCGTTAAAATGCATTCCAAGTTATGAATGCATCATTATTGCAGTTTATGAAAACATGGACTAATACGTAATACACATTCATTCTAATACTGTGAAAATAAGTCTCTCGTAATAACTACTTTTGATAGTAATGAAGCAGTAACAGTTAATTCACTTCACAGAGTTTGCAACTTCAATAACAATTAAGTACTTGTACTTCAGTGGAGCTGAAAACATTAGTTGATCACAGCACTTTGCCTTTCATCATGGTATCCAGTCTTTCGTGTATCTTCTTTTGAACTCCAAAGTTAAACGAGAAAAGCATACTAAAATAAAATGAACTTAAACATATTATGGAATATATCACCATATACTTGGCTACTTGGTAAGGGTGCTCAAGAGACTTGCCACAAACTGTGTAATGTCTTGTTTTTGCTTTTACAGCATTCTGCAACTCAGAACGTGGCACACAATGAAAATCAAAATGTAAATGATGTACATCATCAGGACAAATGTAACGACGCCTCGTAATCTCCTGTAAGTTAAAAGATAATTAGTTTCCATCAACAAAAAGTGCACAAAGATATATATATATATATATATCTGAGGGATTATATATAAAGCATTTTGAGAATTACAAATCACATTTTATTAACCAACCCTATTGTACTTACTGTTGATGAACTAAATGACGCAAAACTAGAAAGGGCCATCTGCTTGAGGGAAAGGCATTTAAAAGAAACCTTATCAGAAGTACAGAAAAAGCACATGCTGCTAACCTGTTTGCCAGAGTGTGAACTTAGTGTGAACATATATGAGGTGGGCCCTGTGGTTCATGGTGCCCCAACAGAATTCCAATCAAAGGAGAAACTTTGTATTATGCTTTGCCTTATGCTGTGCATTTTTAGATGAGGAATAGATTTGCTATTAATTATGAAAACCACCACAATTTTTTGGATGAGTCTAATTTTAAAATAGGGCCATTATGTTTGACGGAATTAGTAGCTATGTTTTTTACACTTTGCTGCATTTCAGATAATAATATACGCTGAAAAATTAAAAGGCAAATTTTACATACATGAGAATAGGAAAAATGGGAACAACTGTTTTAAGTACATGCATTTAGTCTTACCTTGTATAGAATTTTATAGACTATTAAATAAAAAACTTTACATGGTTTTTTTTTTTTTAATGCCAAATATTAGCGAAAAACTAAGGGGTCATTTTACATGAGTGCCAGCCATCTTCTGCATTAGCGGACATAAATAGTTCAGAAGTGAGGGAAGAATTTATTCATGTATTTCTTAAACAGTTTGAATTTTAAATTAAAATAACGATATTGGAGGTGTAAAGGCAACAAGAATGAGCATAATATTCGTAAATTTGCAGGACTAATTTCGAAGGCTTAAACAAAGAACCTGCTTCTTCAGCTGCAGAAGTACAAATTTCAAATGTATAAGGTACCTTAGAAACTAGTCCTGCAAATTTATGAATATTTTACACTGATTCTTGTTTCCTTAACACCTTCCAATAGCTTGAACATTTATTTCCAGTTTCAAGCTTCCTAATTTTTTCCCTCTTAAAAAAAAAAAGTATTTTATTGCCAAATTTTTCAAATAAATCTAGTTATTCGCATGAAAAATTTGTTAAGCAGGTTTTATATGTTACCAAATGTGCACGACATGTATTATCAAACTATGAAAATGAATTTAAGGACAATTGAAAATCTATATGCTCAAAATTTATCTCGTTTCTTTTTGCAAAGACTGTCCCAATAATCACTTAAGTGTTTAAAATGTTAGCTTTTCCCCCCTCTAATATTTATTCCTTTTTTACGTAAAATCAGCGTACATTTTTGAAATTTATTTATGAAAACATCTATAATGGAACAAACAATTAAAATGTAAAATCTAATTTTGAATTTAAGCAGTTAGTTGCAAGAGTAAACTCTCTTTATGAAGCAACAAAATGGGGGATATCTGGGCATCAACATTTTTTATAAATGAAAAATTTTCTTAATTCATTTGATGAACAAGAAATTGAAAATACATTTGAAACCTTAAACAACTTTTAGGTCAGAAATACTAAAAATGTGATCTTGTGATATAGACTACCGACACTGTGACATTATCTGAATGCTAAGAAAATTCCCTCAGGAGAGAGAATAAGTTGGCCTACATACCAGTGGAGAAGTGTTGGAAACATCATGAGTGATATTGCAAGGTCCCAGTTCTAGCTTATCACTCGTAGATTTTAGATTTGAAATGTTCAGCCATAATGGCAGGGTGGACACAAAAGCAAAAGCAGCAACTATTGTCCAGAATTCTTTGCGTTTAAGAGGTGACAGAACATCTGGAAAGAAATAATGTCTGTTACAGAATGCAATATGAAAACTGTAATAAGAATTTCTAATTTTTTATTAGCCTTGGAAATATATTAATTTACCAAATCATTCATTGAGTATAGTATAACAAATACTACATTAAATATTGCATGCATAATTTTATATGCATGAAAAATCATATTTTTAGTTCTTAATTGAGTCATTTCAATATAAAATTTTGAATAAAGGTGTTTTCAATGCTATATAATTCACTTATATGAAATGTAAAGTCAACATTTAAGTGAAATAATTGAAAATTTAGCTTAAACAATGAATATGATTTTTTAATTTTACTCTATTAAGAACTGAATTTTTTTCTATTTTCCAGTTGTTTTGAATGTTTAGATTTTTAAAAAATTGGCATATTAAATGAAAAAGTCTTTGTTTAATTTAATAATAAATAAAATAATAATTAAGACACAATAACACGCCGAATAAATACTAATTAAAGTCAAAACAACAAAATCAGCGTTATATTACCAAATTTCACAGGACTAGTTTCGATGGTTTACCGAACACCATCTTCAGCTGCAAACCGCAAATGAACCAGATAGGGAAAAATGATTAGATAAGATAAGAAAAGCGGACAAGAATAAGCAAGTGGCGCCATCTGTTGGTGAATGAGAACTAAACATAATTCTTTAAAGGCTGAAGGCAAATTTGGATTGGAATTAGGATCGTTAACTAGAACAGAAAGATTTTATGAATGTGAAATGCCTCTAGAAAATCCAGTTCTCCAATGGAAGCTGTTTTTGAATAATTTTGGCAGCAGAAAAATGAAAGTGTGGTTTTCGGACCAACAATGGTTGAGCACAGAAGACTTCTGTGTTTCCTTTTTTTCTAAATATGCCTCATGTTCCTTGACGCGAATTTTAAGGCTCTTAGTTTGGCCAATGTAAATTAACCACACTGGCAAGGAATCCTATAAATACCCAGGAATTCATATCCGGAATGGGGTCCGAGTATGGAAATTTTATTGATGGGAGAATAAACACCCAAGTAAATTTCTGCAAAATATGTGCAACTTTATAGCTAATGATGGAAAGAAGGGAATGACAACACAAATTTTTAAAAAACCAAGAGTGTGCCTTTAGTGTGTTGAGATGAGAATTTTTTAAAGCTTGATTAATAATGTTGGGTGAAAGCCCCTGTCAATAGTTATTGCTTTTAAATACTGAGTTCAAGGGCTAGTTTGGAGGAGCAAACTTGAAGAGCACGGAAAACATAGGAATAAAATGAAGCTTTTGTTTAGTCGGATGACATGATTTTGTGGGGGAAGGCAAACCGATGAAAGGTTTACGGTAAACCGTATCTGAAGTTGGATGTGTTACGTGTGACCAGAAGTCGAGAACAAAAGAATTGCAAGTCTCAGTTCAAAAGTGGAACTGAATAGCAGGATCAATAGAATTCATTGTTGAAAGAACTTTTTAATCATCTTTATACCTTCAAACAGAGTAAAAGTATCGTCTACGTAGCGGAGCCATGCCGGGAAGTTAAAGTTTCAAAAATTTTGATTCATACTAATGCATGTAGATATCAGCCAGGATGGGATGAGGGGGCTTCCCATGGCTAATCCCTCAGTTTGCTTGTAATATTTATTTTGGAAAACAAAATGTGTTTGTTTCAAACAAGTTGAGTGAGAGAATTAGCTCATCAATTTCGATGCAAGAGAAATGAAATTCGCGAAGTCTGGTTTCTAGACATCTTAGTGCCACCTCACTCGGACATTGGTGAATAATGATTTTACATCAAAAGAAACATGAGTAAATTACTGGAGAAATTTTTAACCTTTTTTACAAACTCTATTGAATTTTTTCTGGTGTAAAGTTATTGTCTAATAGAGTTGAAAATCTAGAAACTAAATATTTAGCTAATGGATACGAGGCAGTACCTAAATTTGATACAATAGGGCGGAAAGGAATACCCCTTTTATGAATTTGGGGAGATATAATCTGGCACAATTCGCAACAGATGGGATAAAGTGAATATTTTAAGTTGCCTGAATGATTTGCGAAGATTTGATCGGTGGTTTAATTTACATGGCCAAATAAGAGAGCCTTAAAATTTCGCAGTCAAGGAACATGAGGCATATGTTAAAAAAAGGAAACCAGAAGTTCTGTTTCAACATTGTTGGTCCGAAAACCACACTTCAGTTTTTTGCCTGCCAATATTCAAAAACATCTTCCATGTGATTTTGAGGCATTTCACATTCATAAAAATCTTTGTTCTAGTTAACGATCTAATCCAATCCCAAATTTGCTTCACGAAATTATGTTTTAGTTCTGGGTTCACCAAAGTGGCACCACTGCTTATTCTTGTCCAGGCTTTCTTATCTTATCATTATTTCCTTCTGGTTCATTGGTTTTGCAGCTGAAGATGGTGGTTCGGTAAAACCATCGAAACTAGTCCTGTGAAAATTTGGTAAATATAACGCTGATTTTTGTTGTTTGACTTCTTAATAAAGTAATAATTGTTGCGTGAATACAAGAAAAATTTAATTTATTCCAATAAAAATATTTTGCCAAGATGAAAGTAAACAGGGGATCGAATTAAATATAAAAGAAGCTTGTCAGCTTTAAAAACACACTAAATTAAGCCTATACTTGAGCTTTCATCTTTGTATTTATGGAGGAAAATTTCAACTTAACATGCATTACGCAGCATTTTTAAGGCCAAAAATTTAGCTCCTTACGTTCTGGGGACAATTGCTGGAAACAAAACAAGTGATGAAAGACGAGTCTTAGATTATCTCTCGAAATGTTTAGACATTTCTTTTTCGCTCGTATCACTGCCAGTCTCAGACTAAATGCTGCTTAAATTTAAATTATGCGTTAAGATACTCTTCCTCTCGTAAAAAGATTACTTGAATATGACAAAGCACATCTACCTAATGGGAGAATTGCCATTGTGAAGGGCTTTAGAAAACAAAAAATAAATATTTTAAACTACATTTTATTCAAGCAGATCATCCTTATAGCGATGTGTACACAAATTTATCAGACCGATTCCAAAACAATCGGAAAAAATCAAGGGAGAATCACTGTTTTAGCTTCTTTAAAATACATTTCTGCTGTTGCCATGTACTTTTTGGTAGCCTCATAGATCCTCAAGGAGGCTTTCCTACGAGTTAAAGCGTATTAATAATCACTGCTACTATTTGATAACTTCATTTGGATTAGATCAGAAAAATTCATATCTGTGTATTTGTGATTAAAAATCGTTTACAGATCTTGACAAATGGAAGAATATGATGAGAATGGAGAACGTATATCTCAACTACGTAAGGCGGTTAAGAAAGATGCAGCTTATTATAGCACATTTTATCCAAAAAAAAAAGGGGGAGATTCAACTAACTCTCGACACTGGTTAACTTAATGATGTATATCGATAAATAAATATTTCAAAATACAGATTTTAATATTCATTTTTTTACATCTCTGTACCTTTGAACATGCTATATTTGCACACATTTTCAGAAAACAATTATGTGTAAAAGTAGAGGACCTTGTTTATGTTCTTAGAAATACTAATTCCATTCATGCGTGGTTTTCGAACGAAGATGGCAGCCACGACAGAATTCATTGCTCACTTTTGATTAATTTCATCAATATACACAACAGACTTGAGACTAAAACCCTTTTTCTATTTACCTGAAACGGAATAGGATTTTATTTGCATTGCTTGCAATTCTTTTTTTGCAAGTATGCCAAGCACCAGTAATGCTACGCACAAGCACACTCCTGTAGGCAATTTCATGGTTAGGTTGAACAGGATGTAAAGGAGATATTGTTCCACAATAGTATAGATAGCTGATACAAGTCCCGTCTGAAAAGAACACCGGACAAGGCTAAAAAAAAAAAAAAAAAAAAAAAAAAAAGGAAAAAGTATATATTAACAATGTAGGATTTTATGTTTTTTGAATCTTAAGACTAATTGGATTACATGTTAACTCATCAAACGTGAAACATTGCTTTTTTAAATGCAAATTTTTGGAAGTTCAAAATGCTGGTTCTGTACGTAAACTAATGTTTGTAAAATTTTGTATCAGTCATTACTTTGAAGTTATGTACCATCTCTTACCAGGAGGTTTCTGGTAATTATCTACATTATATTTTTAGATATATAAAATTTTTCATATTTTAATGTATATCATTAATTATTGATTATCCAGGAGGAGGAATTCAGTTTTTCAATCAAATTATTTTTTCATTATTGATGTTGTTAAGTTAGGATTTTTGACTTTCTTGATAACATTGTAATATTATTTCCAAGTTACTTCTTACATATGTAGTTTGGTTATTCTTTGTCTGCGGCAATAATTTACAGCGAGGGGTACGAAAAAGAACATTAAGGAGTTCATTGAAGAATATGAAAACGCATACACATCTAACTAAGCGCTTTATATTTTATTGTCATTTACTAATTCAAGTTGGGGGAAACCTTCTTTTCTTTATAGAAAATAAATACCATAAAATAAGTAATTAAATGCAAGTTCAAATTCAAGAATTTATCTTATGTTATTTCAGCCCAATTTCAAAAATCTTTTAAATAAGCTCAAGAATGGCTCGCAGAGTATATGGTGCACTTATTTTTATCTATTGCAACTTTTGTGTTTTGAATATATACCATCCGATTCACCTTACTATTTCGTTGCTTTTTAATTATGCTATTAGCTTGTTTGTTTGTAGTACAACAAATACACTTAAAGTAACAGTAACTGAATTACTCCAAACGCTTTTCTAGAGAACATTCCAACATTTGCAAAAAGAAAAAGTTCCAAACATTTGCAGGTGAAAAAAGGAAACAAAAATAATGTTAGGGCAACAAAAATAATGTTCATGTTAGTTTTTAAAATTCGATGAGCATCTTCATAAAAATTCATTTTTTATGACATGTACATTCTTTTGATAAACATCAGAAAGGCTGCCTAAAGATAATTTTTTTTTCCAAATCAACCTCAGAACTGAAAAAACGTTGTTGAAAAATTCGGAAAGACGTTTCATTGGCATATCCTATATTATTTACCACTTTTAGTTTTTGAAAATATATTCAGAAAGTTCCCTTAAAAAAATTCGCCTTTTAAAATAGCTTTCTCTTAAAAGAGACTACTAAATCTCAGATGTATTTATGATGCAATTAATTTTAAGGAATAAACTCAGTTTGAATGAAAAGCCTGTTTTTTAACCAATTATTTGAATCTGAAGTTGAAATTTCGAAACTAAATGACATAACGACTTTTGTAGGAATACTCTAAAGAAATGCGAAAAAATAGATAATCGATTATCATTTTGGTATCAAAACACGCGGATGTTTATTAATTTTATTGCTTTAATAGATATTAAAAGGATTCAAAATTAATCCGTCAGTTTGGCTTCCTTGGTTAAAAACTAATTTTATTTCAGCTATTATATGCACTCATCTCAAACTACCGAACTGTATAAAATACTCACTTGTAAAAACTCTCATCGTGACCCACAATTTCATCGTAATTTTGTTGATATAAGTGAGTTGTGTGAAAGAAAAGCAATGTTAGCACTACTAGTTGGATGTAAGGAACATCCAGAAGTTTATTTTTAAATACTGGATCATCGAAGTGCATGAATATCAGCAGGAGACGTGGTGCCAACCACAGCCAAGGAAAGACTGTCAGCACTGCACATACCGCTGTCACTAACGATCGAGTAAGCTCGGGCAAGTTCGATCGGCTTGTCAAGTTGTAGGCAGCATAATGAAACAGGGCATCTGTAAGGCAAAAAACATCGAAGACATACTAATTATAATTTGGAAAAAAAAAAAAAAAAAAAAAAAAAAAATGTAAACAGAATGAAAGTAAAATTATTATAATTCTAGTACAAAATACTAGAATACAGCTGAAGACCCGGATGGAGGAAACCATTTTTGGTGAAAACTGAAATAATAATACCATCTAGCGGGCAAGAGGAATAGCTTTAAAATACGAATCGATTCAGGACAAAAAAGTATTCATGTCCGTAACTGTAAACGAGAAAAGATTTGTGTACTGGGAACAATTTTTGTTTGCTCGCCAAGAGAGAAGAAGCATTTATGTTCAACCTTCCCCTATCAATCTAATTATGTTGGCTGTCGTATTTTGTAATGACGATCTTCTCGTTTAGTCTGTCAGTTCTTCAGCAGTACTTAAGAACATGGAATATGAAGACTACAGCCCAGGCTCCGTCTTAGTGGCCGAATTTTCTGCCAAGAAGAGGAAGAAAGCGGAGAGAATCCGCAATGTTTTGAAAGTTTTACGAGGAATTTTCCCACGGTAAGTCTTACTGTTATCAAGCACACACTAAGTCTTATTCACATCCAAGATAAGCAAAGAAAGTATGTGCAAGTTAGTATATACGCCTTTTCTTCATTCCATAGCAGTGGCGTAGCTAGGATGGGGCAAGGGGGGACTTCCGTCCCCGGGCGCAACATCCAGGGGGCGCCACATTGATGATAAACATATCAGAATGGAATGTTTTCCATCCTTGGAACTTAGAAAGGGGCGCAAAATCTTTATGTGTCCCCGGGCGCTGAAAACCTTAGCTACGTCTCTGTTCCATAGCATTAAAAGAAATTGGGTAAAAAAAAAATAAGGGAAGCTTTGGCGGTTGACGGAAATACACTGGTAGATCACAACAGGAAAACCCACAAACAGAAAACGTGCAACTGCCGAGGAAACTATTTCTAAAACAATCGAGTTCATAAGCTCCGTCAAGCGGAGAAAGTTCCATTATTCCTTAAAAGAGAGTTAAGAAAATAGACCTGCCGCACAAGTTAAACATCAAAAAACATTACACGATATGTACAAAGCGACCAATCCAATGTCGTATGATCGGATTCGATTACCCAAGAAAGGACACTTGTAGTCTAATGATATATTAAAAGCAGAGATTGGTATGCTTGCCAAAATATCGGAAAACTTTCTAAAAGACAAGAAAAAGCAAAACTGTTTTAAGACCTGAAAAATAAAATTAAGGAAAAAGAACTTCATTTGAGCAAGAGTTAATTATGAGAGATAAGATAAAGCTTTATCTTCGTAAGATTTACAGAAGAAACTGGGAGAAAGAATTTTAGACACATTGGGGGGGGGAGATAGAAATTCGCTTCGCTTCTTTTATATGTAATATATACAAATACATATATATTACAAATTTCGTTAAATAAAGATTTAAAATTTATTGCGAAATTTTGTATGATTTTGTAATAATATTTTCTTTATCACTGAAGTTATGCAAACTAAAAATTCATTCTCCTTAAAATTCATACCAGTGAGCATCAATGGCTCCCTCTCTGGGTCTTCAGTTATAACAGTTGAGCTATTAGTATTATTGACGGTTCTTTCGAAACAAATCAAAATATCTGAAAGAAGAATATGCCTGGAAATTGATTATAAAGTTTCTTATACGCTTTTATAATTTCTGAAATTGTGTAATCCATTATTTCTTACCAAAACATTAATTTTCAATGAGCAGGATTCTATGTAAGGAATAGTATATATAACCAATCTTAAAAGCATTACTTTAAAGGGAAGTACTGTAACCAGTGGTGAATGAGGTTAGCCTGAATGGGTTAAATGATAGTATTTAAAATTTTAAAATTTGAAGATACTGATAAATATAAAACCATGTTTACAAAAAATGAATTCATATTTTCTTCTTATAATTATGGAACCTTATAATCTTATATCCTTATAATTATGGAATCTTCTTATAATTATTATATTCACGTATAAAAAACAATTCGAACATGTATATAAAAGTGTAAAATAAATCACAACTACTTACAAACTATGAAATGAAAAAAATATGATCACAAAACATTCTAGTCATTACATAAGAAAGAACTTAAGTTAGAAGTTACAGTTGGACTTGCGTTAAAATACCTAGTGTACAAACAATTTTATTTAAATAATGCCATCTTTATGTTCCCTCGTTATAAATTGATGTTTATCCTTTCATCGCTTTTTTCATATCTCTATGATGCAAGAAGGTCTGCCATTTTAATTTTTTATAGGCCTTTATACTCATTTTCTCGAGATTATTTCATGCTCCTGAGTTTTAAATTGGCACAAATGACTTTAAATAACATAAAAATGCGTTTTTTAATAATTTCCTTCAAAAAGGAGCAGTAAATTCAGTTGACGTTCGGCAACAAAGTTAAAAAATTTGTACGTTTCTGCTTATACCCGTTTTCCTGCCAGGCGTGCACGTGCGAGACAACGTAGCATTGACATATGGGAAGCCTCATGAAGTACGTCACGAAATTATTAAATTTAAATACATTTTACGAAATTCAGATAGGTTTCATAATGAAAATTTGTATATTTATCATGACGTTATTAAATAATAAGTAGACAATTTCTTTTGGTACAGTCTGTAGGGTTTATATTTATTTTAACCAACATTAAGTTTAAACTATCTTTCCTGTCAAGCCTTACTTTCCCCTGGAGTTGCAATGCCAGAGTATGTAAATTTTAGTAGAACGCGCAAGGATTCAAATTGTCAGCGGAAGTAATCTGAGTTAAATAGAAGGAAACGAGTTCGAAGTGTGCTTTCTGCTTCACGAGCGTGGAGGTGGGTAGTTAGAAATTGAAGACCACGCGTTTCGGCCTGTGTGCTTGCCTCAGTAGATAGTTAAATCTTTCAACCTAATATTCAAGTTGCTGATGTCAGCGGTATAGAATTAGGTTAGTTCGTTTAGAACCTCGTAGTTAGTCTTGTATTATCCTTTTAGTTTCTTATTTTATTACCGCCGGTCGGCGTAGTTGTGAGCGTCAAGAGCACGCATCTGTCATTCTAAAGCTGAATAAAAAGGAATTTAAACCCTTCAAGACTTTGTATACTTTCCAGTTCATAGCAGTCACCACTATTGTTGCGTGCAGGTTGGAAGCGCGCAACATTACAAGTCCTTTAATTGAACGAGTGGCTATAGCTTCAAAGTATTAGCACTTACTTCCGCTTAAGTTACCGGTGACTGAAAGGGGCAAATATTAGGTTTTACTGAAAGGGGCAAGTATTAGGTTTTCCGTAATCTTTCCAACGTCCAGTAACTTAGCAATCCCTTTTTTTCCGGTATATCTGGCATACAAAGAGCCAGTGAGTTTGCTTTCCATGAAAAAAACTAATTTATAGACTTTTTTGCAACTTCTGGCATGAAAAAAAGATTTCAGTTCCTTTCTTTTAGATTTACGCCCGATATCTAATATCCAACCAGCGCAAATAAGGCGATAAAAAATCGTCTTCCGTTTTCGATTTCATACTTTTGCAGCGAGAGTAGTGCCAATATATAAAGATATAGACAGTACGTCTTGACTGCGATTTGCTAATTAGTTCTTCCACCATATGATCGTATCTTGATAAACTAAGTGGAGTACATTCATTACAGGCGTTGTTAATAAACTAGTACTACTAATAATAGTAGGTCAGAATTACTGTTTTTGCAAGCTCATATATATTAAATAAATATTCAATAAAACGCGAGAATCACTCTCTTGTGCTACACATATTTCAATGTCGATTTTAATCAAGACATCAGATTAAATCAGATAAAGTAAATTTCATCTCATTTAATTCGCTTTTAGAATATTAATTTAATTCAGCTTCAGAATAATTTTCAAAAAAATTTGTGAAATTCATAATTAAAAACATAAGTAAATTTTCATGCACAGATAGAGTAATTTGAGAATGGACAATTCTGAAGTAATATTCTTAATAAATAAATAGCTTACAAAGAGTGATAACGTAAGATGGAACTCTCTGTTTCAGGATGTTCACTGCACCTTGATGATACCACCATAACTGATAGCCAGGACGAGGAATGACGGGCAATATTTCAAAGCAAGTTGTAGCAAACAGAGAAGCCAGTACCAAATATAATGAATGGTTATCGGTTCTTTTAGCTGAAAATATAGACGTTGATGATTAACTTTAGTTAATATTGTCATAACTAAACTAGTAAGTTGGCTTTGTAGTAAACTGCAAGAAACATAAGAAGTTATTACTTTTTAAAAAACTTTCTAACATGGATCAAGAATAATAAAATAAGTTACAATGATGATGTGATTGTGTACATACAACTAACTCCGAAGGGGAATTTAAACAACATGGTCCTATTAATCTGTCAAAGAATTTTAATTAAAATCAAGAATTTAGTTTTCAAAACCAAGTCAGATTTCAAAAGGCACACAAGACCATCTTATCAGTTTTTAATTTTGTATTATAAAAAAGACTATTATACCCAAAACTGCCAGCCTCTGAAATAAAGTAATATATTTTATTAAATATTTTTACAGATTTGAATTAATTTTTATTTTTTAAAACAGACTTCTGGAAAACAGATAAGATATTTAATTATAAATATATGATCGAATTAAACAATGAAGCTTAGTTAAGAGCAACACTTTTTTTTTTCCTATTTAGTGGTAAGGAACTTAATGGGCTCACTAAATCATGGTCAAAATCAAAATAGAATGCATAAAAATACTGCAGTAAACTCTTTAGAGCAATGTAATTTCCTGAAGTACAGGTTGGGAAAATTTGTTGTTTATCTATGAACATTTATTTATAATTGTTATAAAACTTACTTTTTGTTAATTCTTATATTTATTCAATTATTTGTACTTTATTTTTACACAATTTTCGTCAAAGATTTTCTATCTTCCTACCTCAGATTAATTATATATGCTTATGAGTTGCGAAAATTCGCAGCTATATTTATATGGGTCGCGAAGCTAAGAGTTTTGGAAAAACCGTATTTAAAGAACTTTATAAACATTGAAAAACATTGGTACATTTTGGGAAACTCTGCTTTTAAAGAAGTAGATAAAAACATACTTTGGCTTATTCTCAAACTTTTATTCGAGAAGGTGTACACATATTTTTTAAAGTCGAGAAGTAAGATTGTGAACAAATGATAATCTCAATATAATATGGTGTCCATAAGTTCTTTGATTACTAAGACTAGTGGCAGAACAAAGTTCCCTTTTTAGAAAAAATAGCTACATTAATTTCTTAGAAAAAAGTAATTAGGAATTATGTATGTTATGCAACTATAAACCAGACATAAATATTATGAGATAAAATACATTTAGAAAAGTATAAAATATCACAAAATGCACATTCAGCCTTTGCAAGCATATGCTATTCTTCGTATCCAACTCTCCTTTCATACTGTCACTTAATCAAGGCATTCACTTCTGTTGCTGAGAGTTGAGCATTCCATCAGAAACACCAGTAGATCATACGACACTCATCTTACCATGGCGGAATACTTGGTAAAGTAATATAGCACCAGCAATTTCCAGGACAACAGCAAACCAATTATCTTCCCAGAGAACTCTAAGATCTTTGAAGGATATGAACCAATCTGACGAAAGAGGACGAACCTAAAAATATTTCTCTTTTTACTTCAGTTTAAAATTTTAATAAAAGGAAATAACATAATAAACTTAGCATGGCAAATACAAGTAATTATTAACACTATATTTTAAGCATATTTCCCCACCAGCGAATTTAAAAAATATTTTTGATGCTATTTAAAACAGTAATGTTAAACTGACAGCTCGCGAGATGTCCTTTCTACGTCAGTGGGAAAGCTAACAAAATTTATTTTTACTATCGGGGACTTCCAAATGTGTGCAAAGTTTCAAACCTCTAAATAGTTTAAAACCATCTTAAATATCAACCATATCACTAACTGGTTGGTTGGTTACGGTCCTCATCTTTAGACATAGATAAAAATTAATTATTTGAGGTCCCTTTGAATGCAAAATTCCTGGATTTTGCTTGAGCCCCATCAAAATAGACTGTGTAACCGTATCTCTCCTTGCAAAACTGTTGAAGACTGTTTGAAATTACTACCACCAGAATTTAGAAATAACAGCTGATTTACATTTTAAGACATATTCCTAAACATATGTACGTGCTATAGTTCTTAAGACATACTGTGAAGAGACCTTTGAAATGCAGAAACTGGTTGTTGACTGGTTTAACAGATTTTTATTTTCGAAGTTAATATATTGTTGGTAAAAATCTTAGTACTGATTGAAATAATGAACTTTCACACAACTGTACGAAGCACAGTATCTATTTTTTAACAAAATAATAATCTTTCGCAGAACACATATTCTTATTTAAAACAAGTAATAAAAATATTTTAAGTCAATTCCTACTTAAATAAAGTCAATTCCTACTTAGATCAACAAAGGAAAAATTTTAAAATAAAAAAAAAATAAAATACAAAAACAATTTTTTAAATTAAAAAATTTTAATATGTGAAAACTGTATTAACATCAAGCGTCATCAACTACAATTTTAAAAAAAATGTATTTGAACTTGAGTGGATGAACAAAAAGTATTTTATCAACGATTGAAAATTTGAACAAGATATAGGAAGAGCTAATAGTAGGAATTTAAAAAAGGAAGAAAAAGCAGATTTCGTTGCAAATTGTTACTTTCCAAAATACTTAAACATTTCATGTACAACCGCAGAGAAAAAAAAATCGAAAGTCAGTCATTCCATAAGTCAACAGGCAATCGGAGATATCAGTTTCGTACCGCACGCATTTATTACAGAGTGCACTGCTACAATATTTCATTAACAAAGAATTTAGCTTGCATAGGCCAGTAGTATTTCGGAAGATTCGCTGATGTCGCACTCCAACACTAGGTTATGGAAATTGTTTCCGAATACAATCGTAAATCTTCTGTGCTCTAGCGTATTTAAAAGTAAAGCCTCTTATTATCTTAAACAACAACTGCTCACAGTATCATAGAGGCCAAGACTGCTAAACAATGGTAATTCGACACAAGTTCAAATCTTGGCGAATGGGGCAACTTTGCGTCTCGGCATTGGTGATTTCATTATTTTCTCCATGTGTACAAGTTTCCATAAGTGTCCAAGAAGTAACACTGGTATATTGGTAATTCGACAGGAGTTCAAATCCCACTGAATGAATGACCTGGCTGCAAGCGATTGTTCGTGGCTTTTCTCATGCACGACATGAATACAAGCCAATTTCTTCTTTAAATGTTCTCCACTCTTCTTAGGCATTAGCCCTACGTGCTTTGCAGTTATCCAAATAATAATCTTCATTGGTAACATGAAAACGAGAAAATTTCGTTTAGAAACATTTCCATAAAAATAACTCTGTCCTTATATAATTATTGCGCTACCTAACTTGAAACTGTAGTATGCAAACCACAGTAGAAATTCTTATCAGTAGACTTTCTTTTACACAAGAAAAAGAAAATGAGCCTTTTTACGGACAGAAAATTGAACTTCAGTTATTTGGTATTCATATTTATATTCCATTTGTCCCACCTTCAAAAGGAAAAATCGTTTAGAAAATGCGTGCATTTTCTTAAAGAACAAAGTGATTAAAATTCCTCTTACCAAATTCAAGAACAGTTTAATTATTACTCACCACTATTTTTCCACCAAAACACCACTATTTTTTCTTCGTTCTTTTTATTCAGTAACCTCATGTGCTTTGCGTAAATGATTAAGGAAATAAGCATTGCAATAAAAACACTTTTAGCAGAGCTTAAGCAAATTGAACTACGATATTTCCTAAGCAAACTGAACGCGAAGAATACAGATTCGCAATATTACGGATAAATAAATAGGCAAAACCTTTTTTTAATTTACATGGTTTTAGTTATGGGCACCAAAAAAATAAAAATTTTTAGGTATCAATGTTCATGGTAACATGTGATTAAAAATAAAATTGTAGGATTACTGCGAATGACGGAATTTAAATTAAACTTGTCAGAGGAACTAAAGTGAACTGAATATTATCATTTTAGCAATCATTTTTAGATTATCGTTCCTGTTGCTCTCTGATATTCTATTAATACTTTACTTAAACGCATAGGAGCACAACGATTTTAACTTCATCTGACTAAGAATATTTTATATGAAAGCTTATACTTCTTAGTGCTAGAATGTGTAAACGCAACGTATTAATTTTATTTAAAATGTATTTTCCCGATTGGCAACAACAGTTTTTTTTAGAACGGTAATGATTTGAACTGTAATGTTTTTGAGCAGTAATGTTGACGGTAATGTTTCTGAATAAAGCAAGCATCTAACAATTAATGTTTGAACGGTAATGTTTGACGGAATGTGTTTTTAATAAAGGAATTAATTAATTGCTAACAAATGTATTTATGTTTTCTTATATACACTTTATTTTGTACTTTTTTAGGTCATGAAATTATTAAAAAATAGTACAGAAAATACATATCAGCGTAAAATCCCCCCCCTCCGATTCGACATTCAATTAATTTAAACTTCTGTCTAATTACGAAATCGGATCTCATTACTTAAAACCACTAATGTGATAATACTGGAGGATTAAATCTTGAGACAAAAGTTCATTCATGTTCACTCTGCAAAACAACTTAAAAAGAACAATATTTGAAAACCGCTAAAATTCGATAAATTAAGTTAGAAATTTCAAAAAACATTATTTTGGAAGACAATTTTTCAATTTATCCGATGCTCTAACAATTAAAATTCTGCAATAATTTGTTTACAAGTTAAAAAATAAGGTTTCGTGAAAAAATTAACATTTGGTAAAAGTTATCAATAACGAATTCTGAAAAGAATCCTACGGAATATGACATCGTCATCGCAAATACATATGAATGAAGAATTCGTGCAAAATCGCACTGAAGGAAAGGATGATGATTTTTAAGATTTGATCCAAACAAAAAGAGAAAACAAGGTAAATTAAACCATATAAAAACAGTAAAAGGATTATGTGCCTATGAATACCCCCCCCCCATTTCCAAATTTCTGTAACGTAAAGCACGTAGAAACTAGGAGCAAGACCCAGCGTATTCTTTTGCAATATTTTTTTTCCTACTAAATTATAATAGGCTAATTAAAAGCTTTCGAAGGAAGGTCGCAAAATGAAACTTACTTTTGAATGCACAATGGGAGAAAATAAAAAAAACATTTAATACTTATAATAACTTGTCCAGCAAGTCCAAATTAACAATTCAAATATTTTGCGTGTCACTGTATATTGCATCTCTTTGTATTAGTTTGTTTACCATATATTATACGAAAACTCAAGTCAGTTATTTTCGATCGAAATCCTTGAATACCTTTCAAGGTCTACTGGATAAATGCCAATTCCACGTTACAATGTCCAGAATTCCAAAACAATGCACAACTTTAAAATTTACGTTAATTAAATATCATCTAAAACTAAAAACACAAACAAGATTGTTTTTCAGTCCTTGAGGTAATATTAGTCATACTATTTACAAATGTAAAAAATGCAAAATTGTCACCCATTTTGAAAAATTTTTGGAATTGAGTTTCTCGCGGTTTTTAAATTAGTTATCTTTATGCAATTTTCCACATATTAAAATTAGTTTTATTATTATTTGTACATATATTTGAGAATTTCTTTATAGGAATATTCTTTCAATAACATCTTAAAAAGCTGATCAAAACAGACTTTTCAAGTTTATTTGAAGTACTTCATATTAATTGAATTTCAAGGTTCTCATCATTCTAACATTAAATCATTAAAACTATTAAATTTGTTGCTTCTAAGTTCTAGTTAAAGAAGTTCAATTTTGCAAAATAGAATCAGTATGTTTAAATAGTTCAGACACTGAATTTCTGCTTTTAAAAATGGAAATTTAGTGTAAAGTATGACCTCCATATTTATTTTTGAAAGTGATGGGCACATTTTTTCTATTTTGGCCTCGCCACGCGGCATAAATAAGATTCTTTAACAGATATGCACATTCTCAATGCTGAAAAAGTCCATGACCCATTTTAAAAAAGAGGAAACTTGACATCTTTATATCAAATTTTTACTTCTCTTAGCTGAATATTATTCAAACAATTTTTCGTATGCTTCTCTTGAATGCAAAATGCTGTAAAAAAGAGTTACATTTAAAATGCATGTTTTAGCATAGATTTTCTTATGTTTTACTATTTTATTCCCATGATTCATTATCTAGTTGATGAAACAAATGACGATTATTTAATGAAAAACAGATGAAAATACCTAAAATTGACTATTATTCTACTTCTTCAGTTTCAGATTAGTCTTTTGATTTAATTAATGTAGCTTACTGTTTTCAAGATATTATTTCACTGAATAAGAAAATGAAATTTGATATGTTTAGGCAATCAATCACCTTAGAAGAAGTCGCCAAGTTTCCATAATGTGCCAAAATTCTGGCAATTATGCGCATGAAAATTCTCAGCTTTTAATAAGTAACATCATTTTCGAGTGCGTTATTTTGATTGTATTCCGACAGCTTTTACAGCTAAAACGGGATTTTTATTTCATGATCAGTTTTAAAATATTATTTGCGAACTTGCTTGAAATAGAAGAAACTGCAACTGCAATATCACTAAAAGGTTAATTGCTATGAATCGATTTTTAAAGCGATCACAACCAGAACAAAGGACTCAAAAACTCGCTTGTAAGTAGATTTATTGATTGAATTTCGAGATAAATACATAATTAAAGACGTAAATGTATATATATTATTATTATTATTGCAGTTATGATTCGCCATTCCTTTTCTTTTGTAAAAAATCCTCATGATGACTACGTTAATATTTTTAAATACCTTAAATTTTCTTTATTTGCTTTGCAGAAAAGAATGAAAATGTCTATGCAGAGAGTTTTACAACGTTTTTAAGATCCGTAATATTTTAAAAAGCCCTCCAGATTGTAGTGAATTCCTCGTTTAACCGGAGCGAATTAACTGGATTGCGGATTATCCGAGTCCTGTCTTAAAAAAGTAGTCTGTTTATTTCAGAATGAAGGAGAAAATGCTATCGTAGACCATCAACAAAAAAGCAAACAGTCTATAGAAAATCAAAAGGGAAAAGTAATTTGGGGGATAACAGCAATGATACAGATATAAGTTACAATATTGGAAGCTTTTTATATTCACTCAAGAGTAATTAATTTAATTGCACTTAATTCAAGATATACAGGTATTCTTAAATCACCCATCAAAAAGTAAATTACTCTGTCGAAAAAATAAATCAACTGTACAGCCTTTAATCTTCTGCTTCACTCTAATTGCTAGCGAAATACAAGAAGGCAAATAAAAATAAGCACTGGTTGCATTGTGTAGTTAGGAACATGAAAAATGTGCTCGCATCCGACAGACTATGAAAGGACTACGAATACTAATTTAGTCTACTTAAACCAAATAAACTTTTCTCCAGATTAAATTACTTGAAAACAGTAGAACTGATAGTAGTACTTTTTATTAATTTATAGTACGAATTATTTATCTTTCCTATGTGTAACCTTCAAATTCATCGTAAACTCTGAGTAACCTTTTAAATGTCAACATTGTCCCGGTGTTACCCCACTTAATCGAGAGGTGAATATACATTTTAGAGTTGTATACATAATTAAATTTTAATAGAAGTTACGCACCACGTATAACGGATACAAACACGAATTCTACTAAATCACGAAAACTTTTCAAATGTTCATTTCTTCGGGAATCGCTTTATAAAGCAGAAAACAAGTAACTTATTAAATTTTTAGCTAAAACAACATGCACTCATAAATATATCGCGAACCGTTTGTAACAGTCCTAACGAAAATTTGCATTTCTAATTTTAAGTCACAGAAGCAGATCTGTTTAAAAAAATCTGCTTTTTAATAGATTCCTTTATCAAACATCTTTAAATAAAATACCTAGAAATTTCTTGTCACCTTTACTTTGTTTTACAGCCCTTCTAACTGCTTTATCTTCCAAAAATTCAATTTAAGAAACTTTTGCCATTACAGTAGATAACCTCTTATTTTGAGTATAATGGAGGACATAAGAACTTGAGAAATTGTTCATAAAGACAAGCAAATTACTTTAATTCAGTAATTTGCTTGTTGATATGAACAGTAACAATATATAGTATGCATGTTCAGGCAAAAATTAGTACTTACTAAAATACTGCGATTTACATAATTGGCATAAAAACTTGTTCGCTTCCCGTTGCGTCTAAACTTAAGAATTCATTTCTTTTTCATGCATATTAATTGCAACTGAAACTGATTATGGTAAACGAAAAAAAAGTTATTCTTAGGGGGCAACTATGGGCTATAAATCAGAAGGCACAGAATCAGAAAAAACTGGTTAATTAGTTTCTTAAATATTAATCACTTGAAAATTTCATGATCTTCCAATTTTTATCTATCAACATAATATTAAAACATACTGGAACTTAATTCAGAAGTCAAACAACAAAAATCAGCGTTATACCTACAAAATTTTCACAGGACTAGTTTCGATGGTTTTACTGAACCATCATCTTCAGCTGCAAAACCGCAAATGAAATAGGTATAACGCTGATTTTTGTTGTTTGACTTCTGAATTAGTATTTATTCGGCGTGTTATTGTGTCTTAATTATACTGGAACTTGTTTCAATGAGTACATTTTACAAATTACTGTAAATAGCAAATACTAACGTAAACAACTTTTTTCATTTTATGTGAATTTCCACTTATTTGTTTATGTTTACTTTTTATAACAGATATTATATTTTTTACACAGATTTTAATTATTAGCTACTGGATTTAAATTTGCGAACTAACTTATAAAGGAGAGCAATAAAACGGCATTTAAGATAGTTTTGATTACGAACTGAAACATAAAAGCGTGCTGGAATTAAATTTAACGTTTTTGAAACAAATTAAAAATTCCAGAAAGTAACTGCACATCTTAAAATAAATAACACATAGTTTCTTACCATTCTGGATTCAAGGATTTCCTTTTTATCCAAAGCGTTTATCGATATGAATATTCCTCTAATTAATTTAATATCGTTCACTTCGAACCAGTTTTAGTAATCTGATTCTGTAAATAACCTCGTTTTAACTATACTTTAAAAATATTTTTCTTTAACAAGGTCGCAGGTGAAATTTAGCATTCTTCTAAGAGGAAAGTTCCCGCTCTGCTTCCGCTGCCCTCAACCTTTTTGAAGTACGGCATCAGAAACTAAGGTCAAGTGTTATGATCAGAAACATTTGTGCTTGCAAGAGATGCTGAAAAATCGTCTCGGAACAACCGGACGACCTTAAGAAAAGCGAATGGCAATTAATCGTCATTATGATATACATTTGTTTTTGTTCCTTCCATTATTCATTGAGAGTTTAGATGTGGTGCGTCTGTAACAATAATAACACACACAGCGTTAACAACAATCAAGAAAACGCAAGGAAAGTTACTATTCTCCGCAACAATTCCAGCCCATAGATTTTTCCCTAATCGTTAGCTTAAAATTTCGTACATTACCCCCCAGTGTAAATCATTGCTCGATAAGCTAGATCCTTCAAATATTAAAGTTTTAAATGCTTAGAAACAGCTAAGATGTGGATTTATCAGTCTTCAGCTGAGAACTATGAGGGTTGATTCTATTCAGCAGGCTACTTAATGACAAATTTGAGAACTGACCGAATGTCAAATAATTTATTACTACTTTATTTATTTATTTATTTTAGAAGGAAAATGGGGCAACTGCGCTTTTTTTTCCATTGATAAGTGAAAGTGGTAACTAAGCTTGGATGTTTATGTTAAAAAAAAACTTACTTTTAAGAGATAGAAGAAAAGCAAAATATGATAATTGTCCCAAATAGCCCTTGAGATTGCAATATGCTAGTCTGGAATAGTTATAGCTCTTGGAATATGGCAAAGCACACAGTAGGAATGCCTTCGAAAATTTACAACATAGATGACTTTTCAAGAGAAACTGACTCGTATTCACGTTACAGATGGGGAAAACCAACCATGCAGCCAGCCTGTTGACCTGAGATCGGCGAGTTGAACTCTCAGTATTCAGCAGTCTTAACCACTGGGCCACTGATGGAGCCTGAAAATCTGGAATAACCTTACACCTTTTTTTCAGCTATATGAGCTCTTACTTATCTGAATTAGAATGGCTGATTGGGTGGTTAATTATTTGACTATGGCCATCAAGTACACAAAGGCTATCTGAGCAAGGGAAGGGATGACTGCAAAGAGAACTTTCTAAGGAAAACGGTCCGTATTTATTTACCACATGGGTTAAAGACAAGGATAACCATCTATACAGACAGATCGTTCACTTGGGTTCGAACCTAGGACAAACTACCAATATTCAACAGTCTTTAACTACTCAGCCATTGGTAGTACTGAACAAGGGTGGGTCCATATAATTTCGGATAACAGACCTGCTACTAACTTTACTATTTGATTAAATTAATAAAATAAGTGTTTTAGATAATAATATAGGGGTTGAAAGAGACTGCAATAAAATCTCCGGTAGCTTAAGTATTAAATTGCAGAATGTAGTTTTAAAATCATCTTTCATTAGCCATAATTTGGAAGTTAAAAAAAACATGCAATTTATGTTTAATGAAATGGTATTCTTAGGATTAGAATTCAAAATAATTGTAAGTTTGATCCGGATAACGGGTTATTTTCCTTTTATTAGCTTTAAAAATTTGCCTTACTTACACTAAAAGTGAAATATCCCAGCCGGTTTCTTGTTTCAGATTTTTTAAAAACCTTTTGAGCATCTATAATTGAAAATATTTCATTTTCTTTCATAATTTTCGGCATTTTCTTTGTAAGAATATTTTACATTATTTAATTTTCTTCTGCCCAGTCTTGTCAATATTTTACTTTTTATTTTCATCAAAAAATTTAATATATGAAAACTAAATCTTTCAGACTTATAGATGAGAAAAAAAAAACAAATTCATTTATTCTTCTTGGAAATAATGCGATGAAATTTATTGGTAGTATTATTCAAGATAAAAAGCACAAAAATAATGCACTTAATTTCTTTAATCTATATTTTTGATAAAAACAGCATCAAAATGTTGAGAGCAAAATGCCGTCTGGTAATCTTTTATATATTAACTCTACAGATAACTTGTTCCCAACCAAGAATGATTTTATATAAAAACTCAGATCAACAAGATCAGACCACTATTTTTTAAGTGGCCCCCCATGCCGCACAGACACTATAACTTGCAAACATCCAAGCCTTCTTCGAGATTCGAACTCATCAGCGTTAACCACTATACAGATCAGAGCAATAGTCTCGGTATAATTAATTAGCTGTACTTACTGAAAAGAGTAAAAATACTAGATTAGCAGAATACAAAAATTTAACATTAAGAATAGGAAAGTGACGAAGTTATTTATCACAGCATTTTAAGGCTATCTCCTTAGAACGAATGCTTTCGTTTAGGATACAGCTAGAACGAAAAGAGGTGAATCTCACGTAGCCAGTCCTTTCAGCAGCTCAGAGTGAAGTGCCAAAGTTTAGTGGTTTTGCGATGAAAGTATGATAACATTTCATCTTTTACCTAATACTGGGTGTGCTAATGAGGCATATATATTATATATCGGAGCTCTGCTGATGCCACAGAGAAGATGTAACTGGTCACTTCATTCGCAATAGAAGTCAGTAGGAAACTACATTTTGTTTGTTCAAAGGGCTGAAACATCATCAGCCCTGATGATAGATAGTACTAATAAATATTATAATAGAATGAGAAGTGGAAAATTTAAGGGCGAATATATTTTAAATTAGCTCTAAAAACTCTTACATCGTAGAATTATTACTCGCACGTTCTTAAGAGTCTTGGGTGTCTTTCTGATATTGTTTCAAATGTCCAGACGCTTGCAACTTAATGCATTCGTTGGAAATAGCCAATACACCCGGTCATTTAGCAACGTTAAGAAAGGTGCACCACGGAGGACAATTGATTTTTAAATTCAGTCCCAATTTTGATGGAAAGCAGGGGATGAATTCTAGGAAACGGATCCGAGGATCTTCCAACCCTTTTATTCTATCACCAAACCTCTCGAGAGAACGTTTGGCTGGCCACTATTTATTAAGTGCCTCCATGCCGCACAGAAACTATAACATTTGAGGAATATAAAATGCTCTTTTCTCCCAAAAGCACTATCTCAAACTATTGTGCGTTGTAATGTGCTAGTGTGTCTAAACGCCGTTAACCAGTCTTTCGCTGGAAGCAGAAACTAAAGCTACCATTCCGCAGCTTGTAACACACAGACATCGGTCGGCCTTCTAAATTTCAAAAAGGAAACATGTATAAAATGTGGTCTAACAAGATATCCAGATGCTTATTATTCTACAACGTTGAGCTAAAAGCTACTCAGTCTGTGGGAAGCATCACTGTGTGAACTGATTTCACAAGACATTAGAGGTCCTAAAATTATTACAGGTCCTAAAATTTTGTTTTGGAATAAATGATTAATCTCCTTTTAAACATTCTTCATTGTTTACACAGTTCATAAAATACCAGCAGTATTATATTAATGATATATTTATATATATATAATATACACTGAGAACTATATTACACACTGAGAACGAAGAAGTGAATAGGATTCTGAAAAACCTTTATAACTATAAAAGAGATCATGTGCAGTGCAAATATTCATAAAATTTTGTTTAGTGAGTATAATATGTTTGCAAATCAGTTCAAGCTACTGAAAATAGAGGTTTCGCCAGTGTAAAACTATCAGGCATTTTTAACATGCAGAAGTCATGAGCTCATATTTAATATTATCAGGCGAAAAAGCTGCTGTGATATCTTAACAGATAAATGTTTCATCACTGAATTAATATCAAAATTGGCATTAATTATGATGTTAACCAGAAGAAACTACAAGTGCTCACTGCTATAAAATTACCGTTTCGGGTATTACGCAGATGTTTTAAACCACATTTGAAACGCACTTGTGGAATAATGTGCCTGGCAAGTCAGCAAGTATGCTTCAAATCTCAAAATAAACATTTTCAAAAGACTCAGCAGCCGAAAGGCTAAAAAAAGTGAATTTTACACGAAATATCAAATGTCCGCGATCAAATTTTGATTCTTCAAATAAATAAACATCGAATGATGGCTGAAAACTTTGGAAATAATAAATAAATACAATGAACTCTGACGTAAGATGACTATCCAAGGTTTTAGGTTCTTTGTAGAAGCTATGTTTCCGTACCAATTTTTTTTTTTTTTTTTTTATATTTACAGAAATGCTGATCACTCTTAAAGGTCTAAGAGGTCTTCTCTAAGAGGATAAGCAATAGAAACTTAAGGATGAAACACATTTGCATGAGTACTCATATTAAATAAATACAGTACAATATTGGTTACTCAAATTTCGATATACGTTTATATGCGGAGATAGGTAATTAAAATTAATGGTAATACTTTTCGGCAAGTCTAATTTCTGCTAATCTGACGTTTTCATTTTCAAACTCTTCAGTTTCGGCTTTTTTCAAATCGACAATAAATCCATATAAAAGCAATACAGAAATATGCAAATTTCCTCACTAATTTGAATTATTGCTTTACTTTGCAAATGCGATGTATTCATATTTTTCTTTCTTTATTTCTGTTTCCTACATATTTCTGTTTGTTTTCTACATGCTGTAGAAATTACTTTTGAAGTTCGCAAATAAATATCTATATACATACAATTTAAATTTTTTTTTATATAAATGTTCATTTTTTTATTTTATTTGACAAGTTTTCAGTTTCAGTCACAATGTGGGTTTAAATTTGCTGCTATCCTCGACGTTAGCGAAACAGCACACTTTTAATAAAAAATTTCAAAACTAACAAAAATTAGATAGGAAAAAACAAGAAAATAAATTGTTAGGTAATTAACAGTTATAAGTGCTGAAGTTAACAGTTACAAATTAAAATTAATGACTGCTTACATGCACCCTTGCGAATAAATAATCCTGCAGCCTTATTTCCAGAAAGCATTAACCCTACCTTTTCCTAACTGTGCTTAAAAAATACTAAATGGCATTTAAAGAATTCAAAAGTGTTGGTGCTGAGAATATTAAGTATTTCTCCCACTTGCTTTCTTCGGTGTATGCTAGCTGGAGTGAATATTAAACGCC